ATATCCCATATTCTTATTGTATGAAATAATGCTGTTTGGGCACAGTACTTTTTTTTTGTCTTCCATCTCGTTCCTTCTATTAAATTCTTCATTTCAGTTGCCTTTTCCAAGCAAGACAGATAGAAACGGATCTTTTATCCTTCCATTTATCAATAATTGAATCATCGCTAACTGAAAGTGTATATTCTCTTGACATAAATTTGTCTTTTAAATTTTTGGTAGATACTTCCCGATCCATAATTTACAGTGCCACAGCAGATGGGTCTTGTCTTTAAAAGCGAAACAAATTAAACTACTCCCTTCTTCTTCATAATAACTTCAACCTCAGTTATTCTCTCCTGGATTTCATTCATCGGAATCAGAACTGACATCTGAAGCAGTTGAGTCGCAATCGGATGGCAATTCAGCAAAAAGATCCAAAGCTTCCTGAGTTGTTAATTTTTTTCCTAGACATTTTAGCACATCAGAGCATACACGGATGTAAAAGCGCGCGCAATCACGAAAAAGTAGATACAAAAAAGAAAGAAAAAATATCGTGAGTGCTGCCATCTATGACGAAATTCAAGTGTGTGGTGGACAATTTTAACCCACTTATTTCAACTGCAAAATTAATGTATATAAATATTGAATACAATTAAGATTTTGAATAAAGTACTTTTGAATATTAAAAAGTATCATACATATATAAATTGTATACCAAAATTTTTAAATATTAAAAAATGCGAGATACAGGGATATCACTCTTGTGATCCTATTTGAATATTTTTTTTTGCTTATAAACTTAAGCCCTGGTATAGTAGTAACATCTACTGAGAAAATAATAACTAAAATATTATTTTTAAAGATTAGAATTTTTAATGGAAATTGCTAACTGAGAAAACAAATATTAATTAGGTGGGACATATATTGACCCACCATGCCGCAAAGGGTTAAACCATTCAAAAGTTCTTGAGCGGGATAATGCGTCCTCGCTGTAAACTTGTTTTAACATTTCGTAGGTTTACGCAGCTGTCTTGCCCAATTTGAAGCAAAATTTAATGTTGATTCTTTGCTCCAATTTCACTTCGACACTAGGAATTTAAGAGCTACGTTTTAATGCACCTTTCCACGAGAACCACTTACTTCAGAATGGCGCCAATTGCACTGCACATGTGCAAGAAAACACTCTTCAATATGCAATCATTAGTGCCATTTTCTGACTTTTTGCTCTCCTGCAGTTACGTCAGTCCTGGAAATTAATAGCCGGACCTTGTATTATTCATTGTATTATATGTACACAGCATCCAGGTTTGCCGATTTTGCCTCATGCAAAGATTTCCGGTTTCGGGTTCCAGTGTTAGAATCACTGTTGCTAAAATTTCAACAGCTTTTCTTTATTTTTCTGTATATCATGCACAATTGTGTCACAATTCCATACGATTCTGCTATAAACCGAGGAGTGGAACCTGCCTCCATCTTTTGCAGAATTGCACTTTTTTCATTACCTTCAATTTTACATTTTTCAACATTGCAAGCAGTAAAATCATGAGTGCATTTCTTATCTGTCATTGTATTAAAAAGGGCTGAAATTTAAAATATTTAAATTTATCTACAAAATATCCAGATAAAAAAAAAGGTAGCACTAAATAATCTCGTGAAATAACAAAGCTCAGAAAATACAACAACATGAATCGTGAACTTAAAAGAAGAGTGAATTGTCTGCTTTTTTACCTTGATGCTGATTAGAGGGGAAAAAACTTTTGTCATGATGTCAATAATTTGGTATTTCCGTCATGACTCATTAATTTGGTAAGTATTTTTTCTTCGATATTTCATGCTCAAATGTTGCAGTTTCTGGAACCTATAAACTGAATGTTTATATTTTGAGAGGCAACGCGGATTTCAGGAGTTGGCAGATTTCAGGTCGGTGGATTTTTTGTATTTGACTGTATCAATAATCGTGATTGTTGATTATTATTACAATGTTACAAAATCTGGACTTGTCAGGACTTGGGCGATTCCAGGTATTAGATCATTAGTTTAAATCTAGTAGGATGGCACGCAGAAATTATCAAATTAAAAATATGAAATCATAATTTATGAAATAATGAAGTATTTATGATCTAAAGGGTGTCAAAGTGTACAAAAAAAGCATAATATTTATTTGTTTACCTTATTAAAAATTTTTTCAATGTAATTTGTTTAAGTTGCTTCATTTTTTGTGCTAATACTTTCTCTTTAATTCTGTAGACAGCCATAATCTCTTGTTTAGTTACATTGTTAAAGTCCTGTAACTGCTGTGTCGACAATTCCAACTAATTTGTCAATCAAAATTTTTTCATTTTCAGTAACTTCTCTGTCGCTTTCTTTACTATTGGTAGCGGTATTTTCTTGATCTAGAACCATACTACAGATTTCGCCATTCATTAATTCATTGATATTGAGGAGCATTGTCATCACAATGGAAAACTTCTTTTATATCATCTTCATTTATTATTGCTTCTCCACATTTCTTTACAAAATCCATTAATTGGAAAATTTCACCTTTGTTTTGCGATATCTGAAAACCTTTAAAATTCATGGCTATCATCATTCAATCGTTCAGTATACATATTTTGCTATGCATCATGATCTTGGCGACTAATGACAAATTCCATTAAATTTTATCTTGCTTCTGTCGCACACTGAGACAATTAAGCATGGATTGTATTAGTTACTTATTATACTTATATTTATTTCTTGCACATGCTTAAGGCTTATCAGAGTTCTGAATAAGTAAATTCCCACATATACTTAAGCCTTATTGAGGTCTTGCGCTAGATATCTTTCCGCCTGATGCAATCTCTGTAGGTCCTAAATTCTGCAACCTGTTGCCACCTTATGAGCACTGTCGTTGGTTCTCGGTTTATGTGAATAACAAATCAGTTATTCTTAATTCAAATAGCCCTAAATGTAATCTTTGGGTCTATGAGTATCATAAACAAAATCTATTTTTGACACATGGAGAGAAAAGTTTGGTAAATTTTTCCTTGTCTAACATTTTTTAGTGCATTTAACTTAAATCTGTAATCATCACCAAGCATAATGTCAACATAAAAGGTTACCATACTCTTTTGTTATTCAATAACTAACATTAAAAATTGTTTAGGCATCGCTACATCAGTCATTACTCAAGTTGTCATGTGTTGATAAACATGCGGTTATAAAAGAAAAGTATAATAAATAATGATTCGGCAGGTTGGCGTCAGATCAAAGATGTATCTGTATGGAATGTTTCGGTTTGAGATGTGTGCCAAGGCATATGCTCAACAGAGCCAAATTGCTGATCGTATAAATTTATGCTAAAATGATTGTTTCTTCAATAACAAAGTACAGTACAAAGTCCGAAATCCGGACTCGTCGGGACTTTGGCGATTCCGGATTTGGGATTTTTCCGGATATTGGATCGTCAGTTTCAATCTAGTAAGATGGCATGTAAAAATTATAAAATTAAAAATATGAAATCGGGATTTATGAAATCATGAAATATTTATGATCTAAAGGGTATCAAAATTACAAAACAAAGCTTAATATTTATTTGTTTACCTTTTTAAACATTTCGTTCAATGTATGTTGTTTAAGTTGCTTTGTTTTTTGTGATAATACTTTCTTTTTAATTCCATAGACAGACATAATCTCTTTTTCAGTTACATTGTTGAAGTCTTGGAACCGCTGTTTGGAGCATTCCGACTAACTTGTCAATCGAAATTTTCTCGTTTTCAGTGACTTTTCTGTCACTTTCTTCACTAAACGGTAGAAATATTTTACGGATCTAGAACCATACTACAAATTTTGCCATTCATTAATTCATTGATGATTGAGAAGCATTGTCATCACAATGAAAAACTTCTTTTATATCATCTTCATTTATTACTTGTCTTCTTCATTTATTACTTATTCTTTACAAAATCCGTTAATTGGAAAATTTCATCTTTGTTTTGCGATATCCAAAAACCTTTAAAATTAGCGGCTATCATCATCAAATTATCATTAGCTATCGTTCAATACGTATTTGGCTATGCATCATGAGCTTGACGACTTATGACAAGTTCTTCCATTAAATTTTATCTAGCTTCTATCGCACAGAGACAATAAAGCCTGAATTGTATTAGTTATTTATTATACTTATGTCTATTTCTTGCACATGTTTAAGGCTTATCAGAGTTCTGAATAAATAGATTCCCACATGTACTTAAGCCTTATAGAGTGCCTGCACAAAGTTGTCATATTTTGATAAACATGCGGTGATGTTAACATGCTGTAATGAAAGTATAATAAGTAATGATTAGCCAGATTGGCATCAAATCAATGATGTATCTATGTAGAATGTTTCGGTTTGAGATATGTGTCAAGCAGATATGCAGCAACGGAGCCAACTTACTGATCGTACAAATTTATGCTAAAATTATTGTTTCTTCAATAACAAGGTATTTTATTTAGTGTCAAAGTGAAATTAATAATCGGGACTCTCCAGGTGTTTTATTGTGCGTGGAGAATCAAATGTCCATGTGTAAAGCCTACAAGAAAAAATGTTGGTAGTTTTGAGGTCCCGATTTTAGATCATTCCTGTTAATGGATGTCCGGATTTCGGACTTTGTACTGTATTTTATTTAAGTGAAATTAAGAATCGAGACTCTCCAGGTGTTTTATTATGCATGGAGGGGGAAATCAAATGTGTATGCATAAAGCCTACAAGAAAAACTTTGTTGGTGGTTTTGAGGTCCGAGTTTTAGATCATTCCGGATAATGGGTATCCGGATTTCAAACTTTGTGCTGTATATCATTAATATTAATTATTTTTATTACTAAATGAATAAATCATTTTGAAATTTAAAAGAATGTGTTTTAAGTTTTTACTTTAGGAACCTTTTCAACAGATCATTGTAGTAAATAATTTTCAAAATTTATTTGTGCCATATGCATTAATTCATGGTTGTTGTTATTATTATGTGGTTATAAGAAATTTCTTTTACCTTTTACAGGATTACATGACCTTTTCTGAACATCTGTGGGTTGTATTGACTTCAAAAGAGTTAGAAAATAGTTAAGTAATTTATATTCAATTATTTTGATTTCGTACAAATGTTTTAAAACAATTAATTCTCTGTTTCCGATATATGGTTTCAGAATATTTTATTTTTTAAATTATGGATCCAGCATCAAAGGAATACTTTCATACATTTACATTATTGAAAGAAGAGATGCAAGCTTTTAAAACAGAACAGATTAAGCTGAAAGGTGAAATTTCTAAACTTTTTGAAGAAAATAGAAGACTTGCAAGTGAGTTAAAAGAAAATGTTCAGCTCAGACTTCAGCAGTTCTCGGAGAGTGACATTGGACATCTTGAGCACAAACTGCAAGCTGCAGTTGCAGCGAAAGATGCTGCTGTCGAAATGTGGCAAGCTGCATTGCATCAGTTGGAAAAACAAGAAGAATTGCTTGTTGGTAAAAAAAGTCTTGTTGCAGCTGAGAGAGATGAAGTTGGTAAACGAATTGATTTAATTAAGGAAGAATATAATAGAGGTTTAAATATATTATCAGAAGAACTCTCTAATACTAGAAATGAATTGCATAAAGTAAAAAAAGAACTTGAACTAAAAAGTAGTGAATTTGAAAAACTTAAAAAAAATTCTGATTCTACTAATGATGAATTAAATAAAAGCAGGAAACATGTAGCTGAGCTTTCTGCTGAAAAAACAGAAATGGAAAAGAAAGTTGAAAATCTTCAGTTAGAATTCAACAATTGTGAAAAGATAATTTCTTCTAGCAAAGAAGAAATTTCTGCTTTAAAAATTAGCAAATCAGAATTGTCAACATATGTATTGCAGCTTGAGGAACAAAATAAGAATTTGCAATGTGAGATATCAATAAAAGAAGGAAATGCAAAGGAAAGTTTGCTTACTGCTCAGGAAGCTGTTCTGCAGAAAAAGGAAATGGCTTACAGAGAAGAACAGTATGCAAAAGAAATTGAGCAGCTCAAATTATCTATAGATTTAGAAATTGAGAAAGTTAGTAGGAGATATAAATCAGAAATGAAAGAAACTGAAAAGCAAGCATCTGCAAAAATTCATGATTTAATGGAAGAAATACAGTCTTTGCATCGTGAAAACAGTGAGAAACAAAGCATGTTTGAGAGAGCTGTCCGAGAAAGGCAAGCACTGGAATCAAAATTAGAACAGTTATATTCAGAGAGTGCAAGTGGTATACCTGTGTCCGGTAGTGTCTTTGATGACATTTGCAAGCGCTTAACGATGGCTGAAAGGGCTAGGGATGAATTTGAACTCAAAGCTGCATTTCTTGAGACAGCTTTACAAGAATTAAAATCTGCTAAAGAAGACGAATTACAATATCTTCAAGGAGAACAGAATAATTTTAAAGAACGGTTAGATAATTTGTTAAAAGACTTCAATCAAGCATCTGGTGATAGAATCAAACTTTGTGATGAAGTGACAAAGTTAAAGAAGAAATGTATGGAGCTAGAGAAAGAATTAAGGGTAGCAAAATCAAAGCATGCAAACGAACTTTCATCGCTCGAAGAAAGTTCTCGTCAAAAGCAACAGACGTACACTGAACAATTACGCCTTACTGAAGAGCATTATCAAAAAATATGTGGTGAACTACAGGCATTATTAGAAGCTGAGTTGAAGATAAACAATAGATGGAAAGAAGAGGTGGATGACTTGATAGCAAAGTCTGAAATTAAAATTAAAGAACTGTGCCAAAACATTATTCACCTCACAAATCAAAATAGTGAACTAGTGAATATCTTGCAACAAAATAATATACATGTTCCTATTTCTAATATATATTCTTTGGGCGATTTAGTTAATGTATCACAAGCTGTAGGGAATACCAGTTGATATTATCTATTTGAAATGCATGGCTGTTGATAAGTAAATATTAAATAGCAAGAAGTATGTTCTTTAGCTCAATAGTTTTTTTTACTTTTGTGTTTGAGAATACAAATTCTTCATGGCCTTAAAATTATACCTAATATGTGATAATTTTTTTATTTTTATTTATTTAATTGGTTAATTTATGAATTATTAAATTTAATTCAACATTAAATTTATTCAATTATTTTAATATTTAGGATGCTAAGAAAGGTAAAATTAGGCTTCTCAATTATTTAGAATAATATAAAAATAAATTTTGAAATCTGCAAATGGTATAGATATTTGAAACTGAGTATTTATGATCAAAATCATAGAAACAACCTTGTATTTAGTGTAAGTATAATGAAACAATCAATCGATTTCGAGGGCAGCTAAAGGTCCTCCTCATCAGGAGAAAGAAATACCTAGAAAAGAAATAAAGGGGAGGAGTCTCAGAAACGTACAATAATATAAGTACAGTCAAAAGTTTAAAATCCGGACTCGTCGGGACTTCGGCGATTCCGGATTATAGATCATCAGTTTAAAATCTGGTAAGGTGGCATGCGGAAATTATGAAATTAAAAATATGAAACCGTAATTTATGAAATAAAGAGCAATTATGATCTAAAGGGTATCAAAATTAAAAAAAAAAAAGCTTAATATTTATTCGTTTACTTTATTAAAATTTTTTTTCAACGTGCGCATGCGTAAAGCATACATTATGCATAGTCGAAATTAGAAAATTGCAACCAGAAAACTATTTGATGTGTATTCGTGATATTTATAATGACGAGGAATTTGATTTAAATCATACCAAAGATGGAGTACATCGAGATGAAATACTACATTTAATAAGGAATTATAAGCCGAATAAAATAAAAAACATCTGCCCGGAAGAAAACGATAGTGATCAACTTCCAGTTCATTGCGCGCTGCGACATCCCCCCCCCCTGCGCAGAGCAACGTGAAATTGATAAACAGATTTCGGAACGGTTAGATAAACAAAGGATATGCCTTTATCCATTTTTTGGAGCAATTCCACTTTTTGTTTGATGGACATCGAAACAATACTTTTCGTTTGTAGATCCTTTGGGAGGTCCAAGCATCGGAAATTCTATTTGACATAATCGAAAGTTCAAGCTTACTTTTATAAAATTGCTCCTACAGCCTGCAAAAAATAATAAGCCGGATCCAATTTGAAGATTAAGGAACAACGCAATCATCAACATTAACTGAAATAGATAATTAGAGCTTATACCGTCAGTTATACATAAAACGCGCACGCGAAAACGTATTCTGCGCTTGTGCACACGCATATGTGCAGTCATACAGATCTTACGCGCACGCGTAAACGCCTATGCGCATGCGTCAACGCGGCGCATGTGTAGAAAGTTTTTAGCTTTGAGGTCCGGATTATAGATCATTCCGGATTATGGGTGTCCGAATTAACGACTTTTGACTGTATGATGACTTTTATGAATCATATAAGATAATGGACATATAAATTGTAACTTTACAAAATATCTGTTTTGTTAATTTATGTGTATTTGTATCTGTGTACACACACACAATTTACTTTGTTTCAATATGAATTTTCTCATTTCTTATTATAATTAAAACTCAAAAAGGCATGCACATTACAGATCAAAGGAGTTTCAGAATTGTTGCGAATAATTGTCATGAACTGTGATATAAAGAATTTGTTTCAAAATATGCTTTGAAATTATGTATAATCTATTGCTTTGCACAGATATACATTTACTTGTATTACATATATCCAGTTACTTATATTATGATTCATAATTAAAAAACTTCATTTATGCATTTTGGAAGATGACAGAATTTAATTTTAGTTTGGCCTAGATTTCAGATGAGATGACCTATATTCTTGATTGTGAGAGAAACAAATGAAGCCTTTTTGGAATGCATTAAGTTTTTTTATTTTAGAACAGTGACAATGTTTGCCAATAATAATAAACTAGTGTTCAAAAGTTCAACAATGAATGGAAAGTTAGTATATTAAGTTAAATGTGTCTCTGTCAAGTTTGCATGCATGACAGTTGAAATTAGGCAAAGTGGTATAGGTGTTATACTTTAACTTGACCTTCTGTGAGTATCCTTTAGTTTCAGAGTGCAGCACTTCTTTAGAGTTTGAGCATATTTTTAACAATGAATTATTTGCATATGCACAGTTTCTGTATATTTGAAGACTCGGTGGTTGTGAGGATTCACTTTGATTATTAATAACCTGTGATGTAACTTCTAAAATGGAAGCTAATGGCTTAATTTAATGTGACTTTGCATGTACAAAAAATGCAAGAACACGAAGGTGTAAACTGCTCTGCTTGCTGGAATTTGAAGTTGAATGAGAGCATTCTTCATTCAGGTGACTCAAATCTGTGTATGTCTTACTAGAATAATCATTATTTTGATGATGTGTATTTTAAAGTTTCCTTTTTCCGAGAAAAGTCCATATTTTGGAATTATTTGTGATGGGTAATGAAGATAGAGATCCTTTCTTATTGCCTGTTTGAAGAGATAATGGGAACCATCTCCTATTTATCCATAGATGTGAATATCTTTTGATTAAGTGTTTCTGCAGCAGAAGCAGACAGAAAATGGCATGTGATCTGGGAGAAGCCATTGCATTTATTATGTATAGGCATGGCTGTTAATCTACTGGTATCACATTCTGGTAATATATTGAAAGTCATCTTGCCATTTTATATTGCATCCTATTCCTAGTTGCTGTGTTGCTATTATGTATAGGTATGGCTGTTAATCTACTGGTATCACATTTTGGTAATATATTGAAAGTCATCTTACCATTTTATATTGCATCCTATTCCCTGTTGCTATTGCTTTTTAATAGCAATTGTAGCAAGATGCCTTCTTGGTCATGCTGTGAACAGCATATTGCATTTGATTGTTGCCATGCCTTGAACAGCTTCTTTTGCTAGTATTAAGTTCATGGATTACAGGAATGTGTTCGTTTCCTATAATCCATGAAATAATAATGTGCAGATGTTTGCAGCTGCTTAGTTTCTGTTGAATTCCATTTAGTATCAGTCAGCTGTGCTGTTTGTTTCTGATGCTGCATTGGGCTGATTAGGATAAGAATGAATATGCAGTTAGTTGATATTGGCTGTTTTTATATATTACAGTATCTTGCTGTTAACTGTACTTGGAATTATTGTTTTCACTCACCAGAAGACTTTTCCATTGTTTACTAATTCTGTTATCCATTTTGAGGATATATTAACAGCTTGTTTTGCCTTGTATCTTAGAATTATCTAAATGGTATCATGGTAGTGTCATTAATGCCTAGGTCAGGGTTTCTTAAACTTTTTGGTGTGGGGACCCCATAATATTTCCGAAAATGTTGTGGAACCCCAATAAGCATTGTGCAAATCCGACGCATGCATGAGTGAAACTATCGGCTTCTTCACTTGTCCTGTAATGTAATATTGCAGTTTTAGGTCATTAATTTAAATTTTTAAAGTAAAATTAACGTTTCTATTATAAAATAATGCACCAAAATGTTTTCGTTTTTTCTTTGTCTGTATTGTCTTATCTTTATCTGTTTGCAGATACATTATGTAAAAATATTTGGTAATAGTAAAATTATTATAAGCTAAAGAAATATCAAAATTGCTAAAATTTTTGATGACCCCCTACTGCAGTTTACACCCTATTGTTTAAGAAACTCTGGCCGAGGTGATGATGTGGTATGGATGTTCTTTCATAGCTGGGTGACAATCAGTACATGAAATCTTGGTTTCTTAGTAGGCTGAGTTGAAACTGATACCAAATGTGTTTGTCGGGACGGCTCTATTTGCTTCACCATGCACTTTGATATAAAGTGGCATTATATTTTTTTAGTGTTGGCAATGTGGAGATAGTTCGATATGTTACTGAGATCAAATGTTCATTGTATATTCTTAACAAATATATATTTTTTTCTGTCATAGGAATTATCCTAGCTGTTGGCCTGTGAGTGGCCATTTTTTCTTCTATGGTGCTGTATATAGTTTTTGAATTGCTGATTTTAATCCCCAGCTTGAGCTCTGCATTCTTCAAAATCTTATGATAGTAGTTTATCTTATCAATTAATTTAGAAAACCCATGAAAACTTCTTTTGCGTATCACTCCTAATTTTTGAATTTTATTATGAATCTTGATTATTTTCCTTGTTATTATAAATGTTGGCTTCTGAGTGATTTGTTGTCATGCCGTATGGAATAGATTTGCTTGAGATTTTTTTTTTTCCTTGGAATTTTAGTTCCTTGCAAAAGTTGCTGAAGGTATTTATGGTCTGTATTTATCTTGTATAATGTATTAGATTGTGTCAGAATGTATCAGATTCAATTCATTGACATGAAATGTATGCCATCTTCAAATGCAGTCATTGTTATATGGATGGCCATTTGTATGATGTGATGAAGTTAAATGTTAAATTTCAAAGATCTGTACATGCAGGAGTTTTGAGGGCATTCTCTTTGTTGCTGTGTTGCTATGGTAGCATTATTGTATTGGATGAAGTTAGTTATATATTTTTGAATAGTCTTTGGTAAAGCAGAATAATTGAATTTAAACTAGTTTGCATATTAATAGCGGGAAATGTAATGGGAGAGTATGCTTTGGGGTTGGAAAACTTTTTGTACTTCTTTGTGAAAAGCACTATTTGGTCAACTATGTAATCTAGCAAAGTGGAAAGCTGTAGGCATTTGGTGTAGAGTTTTCAGAAAAGGATGATCAGACTTTGTGCATTAGTTTATGTATCCTGTTGTAAATTGGCCCATTAGCAACCGAGCAGTTAAAATCACTGAACAATGATGATTTGACATGGGTCCAAATCTTGGGAAAAGGGTCAGCTACATGGGAATTTTTATGATTTTTCTCATACATAACATGATTAAAAACCAGTTTCCATTGGCCAGTTCTCCATAAAGGTATTCCTGTTCATAGACGCATAAACCTTGTATGCTTTGCCACAATCAGATAATCCAATCTAATCTCACCCTCCCCAGTGAATGAGCTTATATTTTTATATTACCAGACAAATACTTTTCTTTCTATCTGCTTTCATCACTTACTTAAATTTTGGATATGAGTGTATTATTATGTTATTCTTGAATAATAGTAATAATAATTCTTAATATGAGTCAAGTTTTCATAGTGTGTCAGATAACTGGGATTGCACTATTAATGCTAGAAAAAATAACTTCTTAGAAATTGTGATCATGCATTAAGAAAGTAAGTTTGATACTTTCTTATTATATCCGCTCCAAAAAGGCAAATTTTCATGGGTGTGTGATAATCAGAAAGTACCAATTAATGTTTATAAATTCCATAAAATCTTATTTTCTTGTAAGATGTAAACATCTAAACATTGTTACTAAATTTTTCATTTGTGTGTTAATAAAATTCCTTCTCGTTTTAATAAAC